CAGGCACCACTTCAGCAAAGTTTTAGGGTCACTCACAGTACGAAACTTGTTCACACACAACACACATTGCGAAAAAATGTTCAGGAACGGATTTCTTTTCGGGAGCGGAAATTATACGCTTTTGGTCGCGAGTGTCGCCATTAGAACACTTTTTTTCTTACTCGATGATGTATGGCGACTCGGTGTCCACAATTCAAACGGAGCGATGGCGAAAGGAAGGTTGGCATGAACCTGCGAAATGTACACACCTCTAATCAAAGCAACATTGCCGTAGCGGTAACGAGTATTTAAATTATTTATTATTACAATTAAAGGAATAAAAAGAACTAATACAACCACATAAGGTCAGTTTTAAGAAGTTTCTCAAAGAATACGAAGTGGGTAGTGAACCTGGCTCTTGCGCCAGAGGATGTGGGATCGATCCCCACTGCTGGGAAAATATTGGGTGAGGAACAAAATTTTTTTCCAGTGTCTGGGTGTCTATATATATATTATGTATTTATTTACAAAAGGAGAGTATGTTTATCAGTTATCTAGTATCGATAGTGCAAGCGTTGCTTGGTTCGGGACTAGAGAACGTTGTGTATAAAAGTGTCCTGAATGTTAAAAAGACGAGATCTTCCCAAAAGCTGTTAAACAAGCAGGTGGTTCACTTGATGCTAAGCGAATATCGCCCCCCATGCACATCTGCTACACCCGAGGATTTGCAGATGTGTTGACAACTTTTGGAACGAAGTACCTTATTGCGCGTTGTGAAAGGGGGCTAGACGGAAGAAATTCTCACGAAAAGTAGTAACGACACTTTTTTTTTATTTCGTATTATTATATTGTACGTGTTATTTATATTACACATTGTAAGCTGTGCGGCGTGCGCATGTTTCTCTGCCTGTTATTTGTCTGTCAGACGGACAAACATGACAGTTTTTAGAGATAATTTGATTTAAGAATTAACAATATTCCAGCAGAATCAACAACAATATATAATACTATCATTGATGCAGTTTTTGCAAGACATTTAAATAAAATAGAATCCCAAACATATGTTTCCTACTTCAGTTACCACAAGCCAAATATTACTAAAATTGAGCCTACTGATAAAGTTTATATTACATTATATTTGTTAATAATAAAAAAAATATTATTATAACTTAAAAAAAAAATTATTACAATTCCTTCACTAATTAATCGAAAGGATCTTCGTTCCATCCGGGTGTCCCTTGACACCTCTCAATTTTCTTGAAATTGCGCTCCGGCCACCTCGCTCACTAGACGAAAACCGAAAGTATTATACTTCCACTTTACACCGGCCTTCTGTGAGGTCGTGGTACTTACCCGAACGAGCCTGCCCGTTCGTGCAACAGCCGAGGCTGCTGCGTGGCCCTACCACAGTGAAACTAGGAGCGTTTGAAGCATTGACAATGTCCTGAAAAGCTGGGAAGATAATTAGCAGGCCCTTTTATTTCAGATTTACGGTCAAAACATAAATATAAAAATAAACAGCATGCACTGGGGCAAAACCGCACATATCGAATACTCGCTTCTCTCTTCCCAATGTTTGCTGTATGACAGTTTGGGCTGAATGGGTTTAACTGGAGCATGCGGTTTAGTTGATAAAAAATCTAATGGCTTGCCGATACGTTACAACCTTTAAAGTGAGGGCTCCGATTACCTCACTCACCAGACGGAACGCGAAAGTAGTGTGCATGTTGGATTTGAAATTGGTGTAATTTATGTTAATAATTGTTCGAGCTACGATGAAGGCGGTGACATGTAGTATTGCGTATATTTACAGTCATTCAAGTTTGCGGTAAAGAGTACTGACAACGGACATTATGAGTTTATCTTACAATTGGCTATCGGTTAAAAACAATAAGCAATAAAATCTTTAATACTCGACGTAGATTAACAAAAAACGTAAAAAATACTTACTCTGGGCTGTTTCATTATTTTAAATAGTTATAGTAAAAGTAAAAGGCAGAAAATTCATAACAGGAAAATTCATTCACAACACATACATTTTTAGGGTTATGGACAACAACCAAAATGTTTCTATATATTATCGTTAATTATTTAAATATATGTTTTAATTAATTTATAATTAGTTAAATATTATTAGTAGATTTTGTATTGAATAATCTTTTAGGTTTTCAAAGTAATATTAAACATCAATGTCCCGTCCTACGAATTACAATTTTCCCATTTGAAGAACATCACGACAACTATACTGCTGACTTCTTCTGCACTAGCACTTCACTATATAGCTATCTCACATCTCGGATATAATTTAGAGAACTGAGAACTTTAATGACGTATGCACCATGTACCTGTCCCGTGCGATTTTTTACCGTTTTTGTTTGTAAACAAGATTGCTAACAGGTTGCATAGGTGGCTGTAGTTACGTTCTTAATGCAACGGACGTAGTGCGCGCTCTCCCGCCAACCCTCCGTTGGTCCGCTCTCATCGCGCATGCCCACCCTCCTACGTAACATTGAACTTGACACAGAAACCGCCTTAGATTCATTACAAAAAAATTTCCAAATCATTAATCTATCATTCTACGACAATTTTGACACGAACACAAGGCTCAGTGGGATTTTTCCCCCCAAAAAAACACCAATTGAACTCTATAATCCCGATCCTCGCTCGCGCTGTGACCGTGAACCCAAAATGTTTTTATTGGGTGCTATTAACAATGTTATTGTCTCACTCTATCTAACGGTACTACCAATCCCAGTGAGTGGGACGGAGTCGTACATTTACAACGCTAAATAAATACGCTCGCGGTGCGTTGGCGGAGCGGCATATATTTGGAGCAGCGGAGCATCCTGGTCTCACTCTCCTCAGAACCTTGGTTGCAGTTGGTTCTTAGTGGAGCACAACAGTCCACAGTGAAACTGTCCCCCACCTCACCAATAAAGTTTATCATCAGATCATCGTCTCTAGTGCACCAAGATCTGTTTTCCGGTCTGAGACCAGTAGTTCTTTCGCATCTTAGTCGAGCGCCCCTAGTTCATTGAGACCAGTGGTTCTCGAGTTTAAGTGAAACTGTAAAGATGCGGTCGATATGCGACAGCCTTTTCTCCAATGAGAAAGTGAGTACTTCTAAATTATTTTACACATTATATATTCCTTTTTTGAATTACATATTAATTTTGTATTCATTTATTTTCGCAGTTTTTGCCGCGCGCAGTGCGAGTCGCGGGTCGGGTCGAGGGGTCTATCGGATGGGATCCTCTTGAGTGCATCTCATCACATTGTCTCTCCTCGCAGCGTCCCAGGCAACGGTTCCAAAGATCGGAGGAAGTTGGCTACGTGAAGGATGACTACGGAAATATTTTTAAGTCCCGTGTGTTTACAGAACAGCCATCAACATCTTCGACCTATTGTGAATCCAGCGACAGTTCATACGAGTTAATGGAAACCGGTATGTAGATGTTATATGATATAATAAATCTTAAAAAGATTTGCGCTGGCCATCAATCTAATAACAATTCCGTGCAATATTTGCGACCGCGAATATCAATATTTTCGTATATCGGAATCGACAAGGCGAATAACTATGAAACAAACAATAGCTTACCGCTTAGGAAATGAACAATTTTTTCAAATTATGCAGCGATATTATTCTGTTGATTGTGTGTTACAGAGATGAAAGATTGCACGAGAGAGTCTTAGTTGATGTGGTCCCCTCGCCAATTGTTAGTGAGCGCCGCGTTTTGGGTTGAAACTCCGGGTGATGTTTGTAAAATTTCCCGCGGCACGGAAGATGTATAGTTCATATATTGCCGTTGGACATTTGAATATTTTTAAAACAATAGAAATACTATTGTTTATGCCTCATTCGGGAAGAAGAACCAATGAAATATTTAGATCCTTTTTAGGCTAGCTGAATACTAACTCTATATTTAACGTAGACTTGTCCACAAAAACTGCTAAGCTATGCACTTGATAAAAATTATTTTTCGGCGTAGTTTTTAATGTAGTCTTAGCTTGCGTTATCACCTAATGCTTTATTTATTATGGTAATCAAGAAAACAACAAGAGTTATGCACTTATCCATAAATTATGAGGGGGAACTTTGAAATGAACTATCCATTTTCCGTGATATACACACGTATTGAATTTGAACACTGAACAGTATTTCCGTGTTGCTTGTAAATTGCGTGAAATAGACTTTAACATTGACCGTTAGATCCGGATAATGGTAAATATCGAATTCCGTAATGCAAATGCAAATGATAAATAAAACGCGATGTTAGCTGAGCGCGTAGTACGTATCTACGTAGTTCATAACTGAGCTGAAATTATTGGTCACGCGTATGCGAGAAAGTGATGACGCAAGTTGCAATAATTTGCAACTTGCGTTATCACTGCAAAACATCGGTAAATAGTAAAGAGGGCCAAAACGCATTACTAAGCCTCCACTAGTCGCCGCTGAGGATAACGTAGAATAATAACGAACAGCTGCGTAGCATCGGTGGAAGAATTGTGGCAGCTTCGACAATGACAGCAAATATTGTGTGTATATATGTATGTATGTATATATATACAGTAACTACTATTATTTAATAGCTGCAATTGGGCAAAGGTTTTGGGCTTGCCGAAACACAATGTGGCTCCGGCGTTAAGAAGTTTTTGTATTTGGGTCTAACATAAACACATTGTCCACCGGCGAATAAACAGTTAGTGTGAAATAAAGAATCGAAACGAAAAAGCTATGTTTTATTTCTGTTTACTCCTTAATGAATTCTTCATGTACTTGTATCAAAATTGTTCTAATATGTTGTCAATTACAATTATTAGTTTTAATTACGATGGACTAACATAAGGTGAATGGAATGGAGTTGGAGTTTCATTCGTTCGCTAGCTTCGTGTGGCATTCAAATGGTCTCGAAGCGAACCAAACGTCTTCCGATACGGAGTGGTAGAGTTGGAAGAGTCGCAGTTCCCTTCTACGTGACAAAGCCACCATCCCCTAACGTGTGCCGTATGCTGTGCAGGGTTATCTGACTCGGAAACCGGACGCTCGTCGTCGCGGAGCCGGTCGTCACGTCGCGACGACCCTCGCCGCCACACCCTGGCCACCAACAACCTGCACGTGCACTCTCACCACCCGAGCCAAATCAGCTTGCTGACCGATGTAAGTATCTGCGGTAGCTAACACCGCTCCGCCCCTTTCAGAGACCTGACGAGGCGGTGAGGGTGTCGTGTGTGAACATTGTGTCTTTCAGCTAATGTTCCTGTCGGCGAACCGGCCGGGCAGAGCTGAGCAGCTACTTTGAATTCTCGAGCCCGGTTTTAATAGAAAAACAAATCTGCGTTTCATTTACCCATTTTAGATTTGTTGTGCTTGTATTTGATGTTTAATTTATGCACTGACTTGATTCATTGTTAAGCATTTAGATATCGTATTTGTTACTCGATCAGTTGGAAGTATGGAATACATTTCCATGTAACAAAATAAGGATAAGTGCCCATATATGGTCCACATTTCATTAATTGCTTGTATAGGTTGCTGCTCAAACCAGTACGATGTTAGTTTCCGAACCTATTGATCTTATATACCACACTGTTGATTGCATTTCAAACAATAACAATTAAGAAACCCCGTCAGCTTCATTTCGGTTTGATTGCAAAATAACAGTAGCACGGTAACTTTGTACAGTGCCTGCCAATTTGTTTGTGGCGCGTCGGGGAGCAACAGTTGGTTTCCCTTTTACGCACGAGTTGTTTGCCGTAAATAAACATAAAGCGTTCCCGCGACGGAAATCTCCATTCACCAAGAGCGGGCCTTGCGACGTTTTTTTTAGTGGAAACTGGAATTTAGATCGCGCCTTTATCGTATAAATCGATCCTAAAAAGTTTTTTATGAACCCGGAAAGTGATATAGTTATTTTTAACAACTATCACTGTCTGGCAAATTAAAGAGTTTGGTATATTATCGCGTGTAATGGTTGTCACTATCAAGCGTTATCAAAATTATATTATAGTGCTTTTTCGCAATATAAAGTTTTCCACGAATATTTGGCTAGAATTTCTTTATACTTCAATAACTGTATCAAGTGGCATGATGAGCCATCGTCGCAATTTATAACTAGGAGAATATTATAGAATATACAGGAAGAAACGAAATGTAAGTACTAATGTTAAGTGGTAACCGCTGCCCATGGACATTTGCAACACCCGTAGGACAAGGAGCGTTGCCACTTTCAAAACACATAAAGGGGGTTCCGGTTACTTCATTCACCAGATGAAACGCGGAATTATAGTGTTATAACTACCACTTCACGCCGGTCCTCCGTGATCCCTCACGGAGGACCGCGGTACTTCCCCGGACTGACCCGCCGATTTGTGCACCAGCACTATGATTCCTGTGAATAATTCTTTTGCTGGGTAGGGACAGAACTGGCCGCCTTTATCTACGTTATGTCTTAATATAGGTTTATTTTCTTATGTTGTAATTTTATTTCGTACTGACATTTTTCTGGTCTTCAGAGTCGATCAACAAAGCAATCTTTGAACGCTCCTGAGTACGCTACAGTCCATAAGTTTCAAGGTGAAACTGCAGGAATTAAAAAGGTACCTAGCATGTCACCAATATTGGTTGTATGCGGTTTCATCGCTTCTAACTGTCATTGCTATCTAACAAAATCCATTCGTATGTTCCCATAATGACGATTCTTTACTTTTTTTATGGAACGTCGCGTCGGCAAAACAGTGCCTGCTTTGCAAAAAATTCTTTCTCGTGAATATGTGTCTACAGTGAAGTGACCACTCATCATTCACGCTTCATCCCTATTATTTCATAAGTATCTAATAAAATGTTGTTACATACCATTGCTTTTGCTTATAATAGATCATTAATCTGATATTCAGAAAGCACTGAGTTACTCTTTGTGGATAACTTTGAACAATACGTGAGACACCGGTAAAGAAAATTATTTTCCCGAAGAAATATTAAACATTACATTTTTTATTGTGAGAAGTTAGTAAACGAGCTGTAGGTTCACTTGATGTTAAGTAATAATCGCTTCCCGTGGACATTTGTAACACGTGTGGTGGTAGCGCATCTGCAACCCTAAGTGGGTTGCAGATGCGTTACCAACTTATACGAAAGTGGGCCCCGCCTACATAACTCACCAGACGACCAGGTAGGTCGCTGCACTTACGGATCTTCTGTGAAGTCAAGTAACTTACCCGAACAGACCTGCCCATTCGTTGCGAAGACTGTTGCTCTCTACCACTTTTTGTCTTGGAAACTAAAGCTAACTAACTTCTTTCGTTCAAAAGCTAACTAAAATTGTTTTTTGCTAAGCTAACTAATATAGGAATCCGATGAAAACAAAAGCTACCTATAACAGCATGGGGGGGGAAAATGAGTTATGTATTATGAGTTATATAAATGTTGGTTAATAAATTCTACAAATAGGACTCGGACTTTCCAATATCATAGCCAACAAAATCAAGCTTTTTTTGGCGACAATCACCGTCATGCGACTTTAAACGTTCATACATCGTTTCTGATACACGATAACTTTGAGCTTAAGTAATTAATGTAAATGTTTGTTATTCTCACTTCATTTCCAACACTTCCTTGGCAATAAGTTCAGCGGGGCGTTCGCTATGTATGTTGCCGAAGTGTGCCACTGAGACGCTTCCATGGGATAAATTTGCAAATCGACACTCGATTAGAGGAAAGTGCATTTTCAATTAGCATTGAAAATGAAAATTTAGCGTTGCGAGGATTTGACCGTCGATTGATGGCACTGAGTCACGTTTCAGATGCCCGCCGGTCGACGGCATTTCGAATCGGCTACAGAAATCGATTAGTTAAATCTTATGAAGTTGCCGAAGTACTGTGCTGTTCTATGTTATAGCTAATATCAAGCTATAGCATAGAACAGCACAGTACTTCGGCACTTATGTCGGTTAGAATCTCGTTCCTCGAATCATAGTATTGGCTTTGATATCACTAGCCCGCGGGTAACAATGTAGCTATATTGTAACGCAATTGAGAGACGTATTAGACGCGTCCATATGTTACGGCACAAAGTGCACTGCAATAAGGCGCCTCAAGGAACGTTATGGAGACATCAGAGCTTCGTGCTGCTAACGTTGTACTCGCTCAACGTGTAATTGTATTATTTAGCACGTAGGATGTGCTTGGTGAGTGTTGTGCAGCGTTTATCTTATTCTGAAAAGCTTTGTGAATATTTAAACGGATGGTAATGCGTTTATGTCCATCACTTTATATGTTGTTCTGTCCTGTTAGCAACCTGTTGATGGTTATAGTTTTTTATATCCGGCACCGAGATTCCAGTTTCTTCAGTGCAATTGATCGAAAAAATAAAGAATATCGCCCAAGAGTACTAGCGGGTGACCGGAGGCATGTTTCGTTTACTTGTGCAAACAGTTGAACCTTCTACTGTCCAAACCAAACGAATCGCTGCTACCGAGGAATGATTTTGTAAACTCGTTTCTTAGTCATATCTTTTTAGAAAACGTCAAATCATTTTTGTATTCGAATGTTTTCAAAACATTCTTCGCTTGCTTATTGTCAAATTTCCATTCTTTATCTTATCGTTATCTTCATCATTTCGCTAACTTAGTACTTTATGAAACTTCGATTTCGATTTCGAGTTGAACAAAGTTTTTCGGACTTGCACCTAATGGTTTCAAAATTAGCGCACAATCAGCTCTTTATTATATATTTAAGTGACATATGGGACACCTAACTTAACCGCATCTCTGCGATATAACTCCATGGAATTGGATTTGCAACTGAGCGATGGACACCAGACAGTGTTCGAGATTAGAGTGGCTCCTCACTCTTATGTTTTCCCAAATTACAGTTAAATTTTAACAGTAAGCACTTCATTCATCCGGTAGTATTTCAAAGAACACTTATATAAAAGAAATCGTGAAGTATTGCGAAATAAAATATCTTCTATTATACGGATTTCGGTACGCGAATTTTAGGAATCATTTTCGGCTGTGTTGATTAAATTTAACCTCATCTTCTCGCTTGTATTAATTTACTATGTGTATTACCACGCAGATAATTATTCCGTCTCATTTTTATTTATGTAATGATTATTACCATGAAAAATAATTTTAAAGTTATCATGTACACCCTGATCGACTGAACAACTCCGATATCTTCGATCCTATCGCCTAATAACTACTGTCTACTGAACTTGATGCCTATTGTGCCTGACACTGTTTCCTAATAGGCTCTCAATTTCCAGCAACTGCCGATAGGGTATCCCGTGCCGAACAATGCGCACCTCTTCGAAGATGACCCCGGAGTTATGTCAGAAGTGGAAACCTCTTCCACTGGGTTCCGACGCGGTGGCAAGCAGAGATCGTCTTTGCCGGTGGTCCGGACGCCCAGTAAGACTTTGGAGCGGCCCTTGGGTGAGACTAGTTTAGCCGTGTTGACAATGTCGATAGTTTTAGATTGCATACGGGTTGTGATCTTAGAAATAATGCGAATATTTAGGATGAAAAAAGGTTGCTCGGATGTAGCAGATGTCCATGGGTGGCGGTATTCACTTAACATCGGGTGAACCGTCTGCTCGTTTGGCAACTTTTCACATTAAAAAAAAAACACAATTTTTTTGGCGGAGCCTTTAGAAAAACAATATATTAAGCCTAGATTTGGAAATGCCATTGAATGACTTTTAAATATGAAATTTTAAGATATGATACTATGAATTCAATCAAAAACATCAAAGAATATTAAATGAACATAGACATTGGATATTGATGATATATTAGGAAAAGTATTCTAATACAGAACACACAAGGCACGGAGGGTCCACGAGGGAAGTCTGACCCGTGTGCAAAGAGGCATGGTATTGTAACCGTCCAAATATTTTTTATCGTTTCGATTTGCCTAGGTTTAGTCTTCCTGCAATATCGCACTGAAACGAAGCGCGCCCTCCTACCGAACGAGATCACATCCCTGGACACCGTAAAGGCCCTGTTCGTGCGCAGTTTCTCTCAGCAGCTAACCATGCAGTACTTGGACTCCCCCGCCGTCAAGATCTACATGCACGACGCGTCTAAAGACGTCTTTTTTGAGCTTGAAGATGTACGGTAAGCTATTCAGCGAGTAAGTTACTAAGCGAGTAAGTTATTAAGCGAGTAAGTTATTAAGTTATTGAGCGATTATTGCTATCGTTTTCATTCTTCTTCTTCCTCGTTCCCTTAATACTGAGGATCGTGACCACGAACAATATATTTTTTTTATTTAGACCCCGTTTGGCGTTTTCATTAGACCTCCCGCTATTCAACGAAACTTCATTGATTTATTGGCCTATTTAGAATTTTTTATCATGCATGAGTAATATAGACATTTATATGGCTTTGAAATTCACGCTTTATTTTATATTTAAAGTAACTTATAATTGTTATTCTGAATTCTTAATTGCATAATACATGAATCATGCATTCCATGGTGCACCTAATAATGTTATCACAATGTATAGTTGTTCATGTTTCTTGTCATGAGCGAAACCCCTGACTAAGAAACTTTACTAAATTACTTACTATTGTTATAAATTTAAATTCTTGTTAAATGCATTGCTTACGTATTTATTCAATATTATTTATTAAAAACCATTTTTTTTATTCCTCTGACAAACGAAAGAACAAAAAGAACCTTGTGCGTAGCTGCAATATACTCGACATGTCGAAAAGTTGACAATTCAAATTTCGTTTGAGCTCGATAAAATCGGTTCATTATATTAATAATAAACATTAGAAATGAAATACCGAACAGAGGAAGGCACTTAAACTAGCTGAAGATTACACAAAGGAGGTTAAATTATTCCGATCAACAATTTAATATCAAAATTCCTCACAGTAACTTGAAAATAATTCTCTTCGTTTATTGTGACAGTCCAATTTCCAAGGTTTCGGAGAATCCGAGGGTAAATTTTTAATATAGAATATGGTTACGCGTTAGCATTAATCGAGACTATTTGAGATCGTTGCTTTATATTTTGCTGTAACGGAAAAGTTCAATGTTGCTTAGTCGAGGGGCATGGGTTCGATTCATACACAGGATAAATAAATATTTATGTAAATACATGGCCCAAATATTTGTGTTTGTTCCCAAGGATAACAGGGGGATGGTGATAGTGACGATTTACACACACATCCCCATAGTAAAAATATCCGAAGTAGTAGTTGTAGTAAGTAAAATTTAATTCCGCGGGGCTAAACTATAGACGAAAATATTCACATTATTTCCACATAAATAATTTACCTTTGAGCTGCGGTGAAGTTGTCTTCGGATAATAACTAACAGCGAGTCTGCGCCAATTCTTCAATTAAACTATGAAGTCGTGAATTTACTATTCGGTTTCATTGATTTCCCACCAATTTTCACTTCAATATGAACACAAGATTCTTCAATACAATGTCATACTTTAAATATTCACTTCATCTATCACACGGTTCATGTTGTCCGATTATCTAAGGTATTATCGCAAAGGAGGCGGATAGAACGCCGAGGCTAACTTTGCTTCCAGATTTCTCGCGATGCTTATCTTTTGATTGATTTATTACAATCGCCGCGGGTGTCTGCACAAATATTTTAATAAAAATTAAATTCACTAATTGCAATTCCACTGTACTGGTTTTCATAATTTTTATTTATTGTCACATCAAGTGATTCGTATAAGTACAAATGTCCCTGTGCGAGACGCAAATTACTGATCTCTGCCAGTAGTTCACACAACCATACAATAACATGAAATCATATACATAACGAAACAATACAAATCGCATAATCAATTCACTGGTCGATTTTTAGTTTTTATCAATCCCGTATATTATCTCAAAGGGGACACGTCTGGCACGTCACGGTATACTGACTTTGTACAGGGGGTTCCATTCCACGTACTGCAGGAAACTGCATGTGTACGTAATAGAGCAGTATTGGATGCGTTAGTGTGCGGCCTCGAACGAGGATACCATTCGTAAACCATAGGACCCCATTCAAGGCGTGGCCTTGGAACACTCCATCCTGTAACGTCGTAACTGCCGCGCTCAGCCATTAACAACCTTACTACTTTGAAATAATGACGTAATTTCAACCTTTTCACCTGTACAACTGCCAGATAGAATTCACTTACAAATTGGTTTCTGATATGTATTTATCCAATTTCATATTTAGCAATGGATCTTAAAATTAAGAAAAAATGGAGAGGCCTTTCTTTGTTCAAAAGAAATAAGTATAAAGAAAATGCACACTCAATCAAAACACAATATTTCAATTTCTCTAACATCAAAACTTTTTGAAGTCTTCGAAAGTCCCAAAATGCTAGCAAAGGCGAATATATCTATCTTATTCCTTTATTCCCCGGAAGGGAAGCATAGGCTATCTTTATTATTGAGGGCGGTGCCGAGGCGCGTTCTCGAGCGCCCCCTACAGGCGAAACGGTCGAAAATAGCTGCAGTATTCGCTTCGGCCTTGGTATAACCGTACGGGGTCGCGCGTTCGGTGAATAATTTGGTTCGGTTCGGTCCAACCACTACGCGATGGCTGTGGTGAAGTTGGAATGTAAACTGGAGGGGCCAAAGGAGTTCCAGCATGAACACGACTATCGCTGCCCGTAAGTTCCGTTTGATAAGCGATTAAGTCCCCTTGTCGAGCCTAAATATTATATTTTTGTCCCTAGTCATTACATACTTACCGGATGCTGAATTTAAGCAATTTTGTTATGGAACAACCCTATATTTCTTATTAATTTTAACAGTTATATATAAAATAGAAAATTATTTTATTTCTCAATTTAAGTTCATTTTTTTATCCTGTTAAATATAAATAAAAATACATTCAAAGAGAGCGAAAATAATTAAACCAATTAAAATTATTTTTCATGAGATTAGAAATAATAAATATACATTGATTGTATTTAAAAATAATATTTAATATCAAGAAATAAAATATCTTAGGGTTTGACCAATATGTTTATTTAGCTATGTCTGTGCCGCTGCTCGGTTTGTACTGAAATGTACGCTCGGGACATTTCCGACTTGTCTCTCGTTCAAGGACGCGTGTAGGGGACCTTGTGTAACGCGTGGGTAAGAGTGAGTGTTCAATGTCGTGCACTGGCAACTGTATTTTATATAACGCCATAATTAAAAAGTTTCCCCGTTTCCTCAGAGTCCAAATATTTTGTTAAAAGACATATTTTTCAATACATACAATTACATATAAATTTAAACCAAGCCGTAAAAATTTTTTTCTCATCAATATAAATTAATGCAAGTGTTTTTCTCTTTAAATTTGAGTGAAAAGTTATTACAGGAGAAGTAGTTAAAATAAAATAATTCGTTTAGGTAGTAAAATTTAAATCGTTGATTATAATAGGAAAACAAATAAAACGGTAGAAATGATTATTGTTTCTACCAGATATCGAATGAAAATAAAAATTTTAATTCTCTCTCTTAGGAGTTAAGAATGGAAGTATTCTATGTTATTTTGCCTAAAATAGTCGTCTGAGTTTATTGTAAGAAGTCAAACACTGCCAGTTTTTGAGTAAAAAAAAAAAAAAACGCAGATGTAATAATATCAAGATCCACATTGTACGAACAATTTGTTTTGTTTAAATTACAAAATATTGAAAAGTATTCAATACGAAATCGATGACTTGCGCTTTAACCAGTTTGACTTGAAGTTTATGTAATACTTGCATTTAACTTTCTTAGCGTTCATTTCACTATGTTGAAGTCACGTTATCCCGTTGAAGTCTTTTCCTTTGTGACTCAATGATATCAAATATTCGTAAAAAAAATTATTTTTCAATTTCATCTTATTACCACACAGCGAAACTAATTTTTTATTGATTGCTTTCATAAATCTAACGGAAGATGCACGTCCAATTAAATTTATGTAGGAATTGTCATTTATCGTGCTGCTCTAAATGGAAATAAATAAAAAATAATGAACTTATGTAAATTATTTTCGTTTTCATTCCATAGAATAAAATCAAATTATGCTAAATCCAATGAATGCTATCTAAACGGTCGTAGTAATTGTATATCTGAAATAAGCTTTTTCTCCACGAATCTATAAACCTCTTTTTCAACGCATGAGTTGAAAATACTATAAAATGTTTTAAAAATTGTAATATTCACCTTCTTTTCTTTTATTCACTTCATATTTTTATTAATATAAATATTATTTTACACTGGCTCGTGTTGTTATCAATATAAAAGTATAGACGTAGATGAGTTAATTATTAAATCTTGAGCTAATAACTTTAGACCAATTCGATGTTCAAAGATGGTGCCTCCCTGATGGCGAAATGCGTATTCGCTTGTTGGTCATTGTGTAAGAGGTGTCATATTTTTTTTAAACTGCAGCTGAGAGATAATTGTTTCCTCACAGGAGCCACCTGCGAGACATTCGCGATCGTAGTGTGCTTCGTCTCTTCGAAGCGAACGACGTGGTGGGCAACTCATTTCCAGGAACCGCTGGTATCAACTCTTTGTCGATACCGTCATCTTCAAGCATCAGCTCAACATCGATTTGGGAGGTAACGTTGATTTTCTACAGTACAAGTACAATCATAATAATACGCGTGAGTGTGAGTGTCAGTCTGAGTCTGAGTGTGAGTGAGTGTGTGCGTGCGTCCGTGTGTGCGTGTGCGTGTGCGTGTGCGTGTGGGTGTGCGTGTGGGTTTGCGTGTGGGTGTTCGTGTGCGTGTGCCTGTGTGTGTGTGTGTGTGTGAGAGAGTCAATTAATCAGAAGTCAAACATCAGAAATAACGTTCTTCCCCATTACTGTAATAATTACAATTTCAATATTAATTATTATATTTTCTCATTATCATTATTTTCTTTTTTACAAATACTACCTATTCATAGGATGCGGTAAGTCTGTGTTATAGAGGCGTTCTACAAACACAAATTAAACATAATATCTGGATAATATCTCTAGATCCTATACTATATAAGTAATTATAACAAACACTCTTAGATACTGAATTCATTGATCGTTGAAAGATTTTATGTTTTGAATATTATTTAGTATTCACTAATATTTAAAGCACCAGCGTTGCCTTAATCACAGTTAGACTAACTATGACACTTTAACGATATCAGTGTTAACCTTTGGTATATTTAAAAAATGTACCGCTTCTAATCCACCTTAAAAGTGTTGACGTAATTTTGACTTTGACTTGACTACCTGACCTTAAACAGTAACTTACAATTTTATATACGACGATAACTTGAGCAAATTATTATTTTTTTAGTATGTGAGAAAGTGTCAATTAAGCTGGCAGGTCACCTGGTGTTAACTGCTAACCGACGCCCATCGAAATTTAAAACACCTGGAGGATTCTAGATGCGTTGCCAGCTTTTAATGAAGCTACCCGGCTACCCCAATTACCAGACTAAACGCAGGAGTGTAACACTTCCGCATCCCGCCGGACTTCAGTTAAGTCGTGGTACTTACACGTATGGACCTTCCCATTCGTGCAACAACGAACTTCTTTTGATATCATGCTTTAAAATATGAGAGTAAACTTACTTAAATTTAACTTTTTCACAGACACATGAACTTTTGTCCGATTCGGATACTTCGTCCTCAACTTCATACGTTTAAATGTATTGACGGAATTAGAAAAAAAAAAAAAAAAAAAACATCAACCATCATATTTCACTATCCACAATAATTATAAGCTAATTTCTAGAATTAAAAGGATCTCGATGCTTTAGGATTGGATACTTTAGCTATTTTAATACTACCACGATAATTTCCTTGTTTCAATTTTTGTGGACGCTTATTAGTAACAATAACATGTTATCAGTTGATTTAACTTGTAGGTGCCAATTCGTGTAATAATTAATAATACTTGTATTCCTATAACAAATTAAATTGGAAATATTTAAATTAGTTTACATTATTCGCTTAATTACATTTTAAATAGTTAACATCATTATTTATGTATCTACATATTTAATTAGTTTAGTTTTAACATTATATACTTCTTGATAAAGTTTAAAAGTAAGTTTGAAATTATAACAAGAACAAGAAGCATCCTTCATTGGGGCATTGGCTTAACTGGCGATCATACAGCTTACTCAAGGACATGCACCGTTGAAAAAACGTTTATTTAATTCAATAAATACCATTTTCAATATAAGTTTTGAGACAATGAGTTACTTAAAAAAAAATTAAGTTAATCACTTGCATTTAAGACATTTTTGGTTTATTAGTTTTTAAACATCAAGAGGAATTATGTAGAAGATAAAATTATGCATGTTAGTATTGTAAGGATAGTATGGATTATACGTAGCACGGATTTTCGTAGTAATAACTACGAAAATCCATGCTACGAAAGTAGACTAGCATTTGATTGTAGTTTGGTTATTTGAACAATGGAATTTAATCGTTTTCGAAGATTGATCTAAACATTTTAAAAGTAAACGTTTTAAATGTCACTGTCATAGCGACATAAACTTAGTCTACTACTATACCCATTTGCTGTTTTACAATCCAAATGTCTTAGATGTAACTCGTATCATCATATACATATATCATCATTATAAAGAAATATAAATGTATTATTTATCTTTCTGCATTAGAAAGTATAATAAATGTATAAAAAAATCGTGTTTAATTAATTTATATTGCAAACTAGGAATTCAAAAAACAATCGATTTTCATATTAATCGATTGTTTTTTACATCCCTAGTTTGTACATTATAATGTCCCTAGTTTTCCGCTATATCAGATTAAAAATGATGGAATTATGGTAATGATAATGGACCATAGGAGAACAATATTTGTCCGTTTATAGGCATTAAATTGGTGCCGCTACGGTAGCATGTGGGTATTAGCCAGTGGTGCTGAATTAATTGTTACCAATTAGTAATATTCTACTCAACAAGGTAAATAATCATTGCAACTCTAGCGTTATTCTGGAGGTTTTTGGGGCTGTTATTTATTGCTTATAGCTGGACACTTTTGTAGCTGTTGCCCCATATGAGACGAGTGGATAGTAGAGGTAAGGAGTGCTTCCTTTCCTCTACTATCCATACTCGTGTATTGTCACGAGTACCAAACCAGTGAGCCAAAGGACAATGGCGAGCTCCCATACAAATTTTTGTTCCACACATTCTTTTGCGTCTATGAAAGGATAGATTTTAATGTTCTGAATATATTATACATTTATATCTTATTATTAAATAAAGGTTGGAATTAATTTTTGTGTAAAATTTTTAAGGTTATCTATTGTATGAATTTAAATGATGACTCTAGAAGTACCGACGTTAAGACTGACTAAAGTCCAGAAGTCGTTTCTAGATGGATATATAATGAAATAATTTAAAGAATTTCAAAGAAGTAAGTGATGTGCCTATTAGAATGTCGAAGAATATATTGAGAAGAAGGATATGCGTAATTGACTCTTACTCTACACTTGCAAGTTCCCTGTCTGCTACTGATTCTATAGATTTTAAAAAGAAAGATAACAAGACTGCAGAGTTTCTTGCCGGTTCTTCTCTTGATTCGTTTTGTAAACCAGTATTGGTTTTATGACGTTCAATAGGAGCATAAAATCTTATAATAAATATAAAAATGTTGACATTGACATTGAAATAACAATGAAAACATTTTGGGTATGAAATGTGTGAGTTATAATAAACCGAAAAATGTTATTGATGTTTTGAGCATCTACAGACTCTATCATGACTAGTAACTTACGTAACTTTGTAACGTAACTTTAGTTATTGCGCGCAATAACTAAATTTACCGTGGGCTGGCCATGTCTCCAGACGTACTGATGGTCATTGGAGCCGACACATGTTAGAGTGGACAGCACGGCTAGGGAAACGTAGTGTGGGACGCTCTGCAGCACTGACTCCAGGACTGACGACTTAAGAAAAGTGGTGGGCAGCGGATGGATGCGGACTGCCCAGGACCGGCATAGTTGGCGCATTTTGGGGGAGGCTTAAGTTCAGCAGCGAGGACGGCAATAGGCTGATATTGATTGATGGATTATAACTGAAACCTGGCTTTTGGACGGAATTTCGAATTCGGAGTTAGTAGATGGTCGTTATGTAGTATGGCAGCGCGATCGTGAGTACACAGCGACAGGCCAAGTGTATGGGGGAGGTATGCTTATCGCAAGACGTAGAGATCTGTCTGTACAACCTCAGTCAACATTTAAATCCAGCGCTAAAGACATTTGGCTTACTCTGAGAGTATCAAGCAGTAACAGCAAATTGCATAATTATTTACACATTTGTGCCTTATATCTATGTAATCAGCATAATGGCTTACATTTTACTAATCAGTTATCTAATTTCTTTATTAATGTTACTAATATAACTTTGAAATATCCTTCTGAGAGGTATCTCATTGTTGGTTATTTTAACTTAAGCAATGTTACATGGGAGCGTGTTTCAAACTGTTGCGACTGTTGCTTTGAACCTACTAACTACAATACGTATTTATTTTATTTATTTATTTAAAGGACACCAGCAGTACGTCATGCATTTCACGTTTAAACAATAAGATTACAAAAAAAAATTCTGATGTAGGTATGTACCTTTTTAGGTGACACTGCATTGTTTCAGCTAAATACAAGAATAATCGAGACAATTAATGCAAAAATATTTAACAGCAAATAATTTCAGTAAAATTAAGAAAAAAAAAATTTAAGAATAACAAGCAAAAATACAAATACAAAAATAAATTTTCAGGTGACACAGCATTGTTTCAGCTAAATATAAGAATAATCGAGAACAATAAATGCAAAAAATATTTAACAGCAAATAATTTCAGTAAAATTAAGAAAAAAAAATGAATTACAAGCAAAAATTCAAATAGAAAAATAAATTTAAATTAAATTAATAATATTAAAACAAATTGACATTAATTAAAACTACTATGTTATAAATACAAATAATTTTTATTATTACAATACAAAAAAAAACAGAATGAATACAATAATCTAAATTAAAAACGAATTATCCGATTAATAATAAAAACGTTAACGGACATGACTCCGTATTAATTTCTTGAATTTTATAAAATTTTAATGGAATAAATCCATTCTGGGTAGTTCTTCACAGACGATGAGCAGTGACTAGTTGATGAAATTAATGCACTTGGTTTATGACAGTATAATGGTATGCGCAATAGTTACGGAAAAAATCTAGACCTGGTCTTGTCTAACTGTAACGTTGCTGTATCTGACTGCAGCTGTGACTCTCTGGTACCGGTAGATCCTTTTCATGGTGCGTTATTACTAGAGATGTGACTCTCAGAGTTAAGCACAGTTGACACAACTCCGTTTACAAGGTTCTTTTCGAATAAAAGAGGTTATGAAACAATGAACAAAAACATTTCTCAGATCGATTGGCCCACTAGTTTTTCATCAAAATCTCTCAACGATTCTATTGATTATTTTTATCGAGTATTTACGAAATTAATAGATGAGCGTATACCATTTTAAAAAATAAAGTTCGACTCCTACCATAAGTAGTATTCCCCTGCATTGAAGAGAGCAATCAAAGAAAAATA